ACAACGAACCCTTCAGCCAAACCAGTAAGGGAGCAGAGCCAGCAGCAAGGCGGGGTCGGGCAGGAAAGATCCACCAGACCAACCCGGGCACGTGACCAAGGTGCGCCAGCAGCCATGGGTGGATCCCAGCTGTGGAGAAGCTGGCGGACCCACTGAAGGCTTATTGTGGTCACACATTTGCGCGCAGATAAACTGGTGAAGGAGCAAGCAGTGAGACGGACTGAGCAGGCCCCAGTGGCTGGAAGTGGCAGAGGGAACCGCCATTGTCCCTCTCTGACCCCGCCCCCACATACAGCATCACAAACCAGTGACTGGGGTGGCCCTGCCCTGGTGAACAACTAAGGCTCGGCTCCTCATACATAACAGGCACAAACAGATCAAAACATGGCTCAACAACAACTCAGAGCCCCAGAGCCAATAAATCTAAGTGATGAAGAAATAGCCAAACTTTCAGATGCACAGTTCAAAACACTGGTGATCAGGATGCTCACAGAACTGGTTCATTTTAGTCACAAATTAGAGGAACATATGAAGGCCAAACTAATTGAAATGAATGCAAATGCACAGGAAATAAATAGTAATGAAAAGGAAACTGGGACTCAAATCAAAGGAGTGGACCAGAAGGAAGAAAAAAATGACCAAAGAGAAAAGGATGAAGAAACAAGAATTCAAAACAACGAGGAGAGGCTTAGGAACCTTCAGGACATCTTTAAACGTTCCAACATACGAATTATAGGGGTACCAGAAGGGGAAGAGGAATAGCCATGAATGGAAAACTTATTTGAACAAATAATAAAGGAGAACTTCCCCAATCTGGCAAAGGAAATAGACTTCCAGGAAATTCAGGAAGCTCAGAGTCCCAAAGAAGTAGGACCCAAGAAGGAACACACCAAGGCACATCATAATTATATTAGCCAAGATGAAAATGAAGGAGAGAATCCTAGAAGCAGCAAGAGCTAAGGGGACAGTCACCTACAAAGGAGTGCCCATCAGAATGTCAGCGGATTTCTCAAAAGACACCTTACAGGCAAGAAGGGGCTGGAAAGAAGTATTCCAAGTCATGACATCCAAAGACCTACATCCAAGATTGCTCTATCCAGCAGAGCTTTCATTTAGAATGGAAGGACAGATAAAGTGCTTCTCAGATAAGATCAAATTCAAGGAGTTCATCATCACCAAGCCCTTATTATATGAAATGTTAAAGGGACTTACCTAAGAAAAAGAAGATAAAAAAGATGAACAGTGAAAGGACAGCAAACTCACAGTTATTAACAACCACACCTAAAACAGAAGCAAACTAAGAGGACAGCTAGATCAGGAGCAGAACCATAGAATTGAAGATCACATGGAGGGTTAGCAACAGGGGAGTGGAGGAGAAGAAGTGGAGAATAGGTACAGAAAATAAGTAGCATAGACGGTAGGTAGAAAATAGATAGGGGGAAGGGCAAGAATAGTATGGGAAATATAGAATCTAAAGAACTTGAGACATGTCATAAACTAAAGGGGGGGAATGGTGGGGGGGTGTGCAGGGTGGAAGGGAATGAAGGGGTGAAATAGAACAACTGTAATGGCATAATTAATAAAATATATTAAAAATAAAAATAAAAATAATAAGAAAAATTAAAAATAATAAAAAATTAAAAAACAAAAACAACAATGACAAAAAAGAAGCTTTTCTAATGGAGTGTAATTAAACCAACTGTCCCGGCTAGTGCCCACCCATATTCTATTGCCCAAACCAACTCAATACACATCTTTCTAGCTTCTGATTGCTAGTACATCTTTTTTCCCCCTTCTGGCTTTCTGGTTCTTGGAGCCCACTCTGTCTTCTGAAAGGCAGGCCAGACATGCTGGGGAGCTCATGCCCCCACCCCGGAGGAGCCTTCAGGAGGAACACTGGCCTGCCGACACTTTCACTTTGGCCCAGGGAGACTGAGTCTGAACCTCTGATCTCTAAAACTGTAAGACAATAAATCATGTTGTTTTAGCCACCAAATTTGTAGTGATTTGTTACGGCAGCCACAGAAAATAAATAAAAGGGCATCTTTAAAAAGTTGCAGCTGACATTATGCTGATTGATGAAAGAATAAATGCTTTCTCCTAAAATCTTTAACAAGGTAATAAGTCCACTCTTTTCACTTCTATTCAACATTGTACTGAAGGTCTTAGATAAAGTGATAATGCAAGAAAAGGAAATAAAAAATGCAGAGTTTGGGGAAAATACAAGTAAAAATGTTATTCACAGACAACATGATCATCCATGGAAAAATCCCACTACTGATGCTAATAGATGAGTTCAACAATGTTGTGGGCTACTGGTCAATATATAAAAACAGTTGTATTTTTATATACTAACAATAAGCAATTAAAAATTAAAACTAAGAAAACAATATTACTTATAGCAGCATTAAAAATACAAAACACATATGGATACATTTGACAAAAGATGAGCAAGCCCCATACTGAAAACTACAAAGCTTTGCAGAAAGAAATTTTCAAGATCTAAATAAATGGAAAATTATACTATAATCATGGACTCTAAATTGATCCATAGTTTTGATGTAATCCCAATCAAAATCTCAGCACATTTTTTAAAGGAACTGACAAGCTGATTCTAAAATTTATATGGAAGCGCAAAATACCTAGAATAGCTGAAACAAACTTGAGTCTTAAGGAACAAAAGTGGAAGACTAACACTGATTTCAAGACATATTGTACTATTAAACTATAGTAATTAAGCCAGCACAATATTGGCCTAAAGATAAATATAAGAATAATGAATGAACTATAATATAGAGTCTAGAAACAGACCCACACATATAAATGATTATTGAGTTTTAACAAAAGTGCCAAGACAATTCAATGGTAAAGAATAATCTTAGCAACAAATGGCGTCAGGACAATTGGATAGAAAAAACAACTTCTATCTTTGCCCCACATCATGAACACAAATTAACTAGAAGTAGACCGCAGGCCTAAATGTAAGAGCCCAATCTATTAAACTTGTAGGAAAAAGCATGAAGTACAAAAGAAAAAGTCGATTAATTGGACTTATTCAAAATAAAAAGAACTTTTGCTCTTCTACAGACACAGTTAAAAAATAAAAAAGGAAGTCACAGAATGGGAGAAAATACTTGCAAAACACACATCTGACAAGAGGTTTATATGTAGACTATATAAAGAACATTCACAATGCAAAATTAAGGCAAACACTTCAGTTTAAAAGCTGGCCAAATATTTGAACAGATACTTCACCAAATAAGATATACAGATGGCAAATAAACACATTACATGATTCTCAACATCATCAGTTATTAGAGAAGTGCAAATTAAAACCACAGTAAAATACTACTACACACCCATTAGAATGGTTAAAATTTAAAAGACTGATTATTTGAAGTGGTGATAGAATCTAGAGCAGCTGAAACTCTCATGCATTGCTGATGGGGATGTAAATTGCTACAACTTATTTAGAAAACAGCTTGGCAGTTTCTTAAGAAGTTAAAACAAACACCATACTACTCTGCCATTTTACACCTAGATATTTATCTGAGAGAAATGAAAATCTATGTTCATATAAAAACCTGTGCAGAAGTTTTCATAGCAACTTTATTTGTAAAAGCCAAACTCAGAAAGCTATCCAAGTGTCCATCAATAGGTGAGTGGAGAAATTATGATACATTCACAATGGAATACTATCAGTAATAAAAAAGGAATGAAATATAGACACATGCTATTACATGGATGAATCTCAAAATAATTATTTTGATGGAAATAAGCCTTATACAAAAGTGTACATATCAGCCCTGGCTGGTATAGCTCAGTGCATTGAGCACAGGCCTGCGAACCAAAGAATTGCAGTTCGATTCCCAGTCAAGGCACATGCCTGGGTTGCAGGCCAGTTCCCAGCAGGGGACCCACGAAAGGCAACCATACACTGATATTTCTCTCCCTCTGTCCTTCCCTTCCTCTCTAAAGATAAATAAACAAAATCTTTTAAAAAAGAGTACATATCATAAGATTCCATTTTATATAAAATTAAAAAAATTTCAAACTAGTCTATAATGGCAAAAAGCGGACCAGCGGGTCTATTGCCTGGGCATAGGGTGGCAGGAAGTAATGAGGAGAAATGTCTCACAAAGGTCATAAGGAAACTTCTGGAAGGTGATGGAAGTGTTCGTTATCTTGAATGTAGTGATGAAATCAATCCAAATTAATCAAGGTTTACACTTTAAATATGTGCAGTTTACTGTACCTCCATACTTGAATAAATGATAAAAAGAGTTATGCAGAGAAGTTTAAGATGTAATTTAGCAGGTAATAAGTATTTACTGTGGGTTCTTTTTCAAAATTTACTGAGGAACATCATTAAGATTTTGTTTTCAAATAAAATTTGTAGAAGAACCCACAGTATCTTGATGATGATATGCATGATGGATTGAATGGAAAGGTGAGATTCTATTAAAATATCTCACTTAATAAAACAGAATTTTCAGTAAATAATCCTCTGCCCCAAATCAGGCTGTCCTGGGATTCAGAGAAAATAGCCTAGTGTTTTACTAGGTCTTTATCTAAGGGGTCATCTATGAAAAATTATTTTAGAAAGGAGATACCCAGTTGGAAACCTGGTCGCATTTTCCAGAGAGGGGGACTGCCCTACTCTAGGGACAGCACGCCCAGGGGCAAAGAATCTGTCCCCATTCCCAAGGCACCCTCGGTCCTGGCACAGTTCTTCTATGATGTTGTGAATCTTGGTGCACCAGTGCTGGGCTCTGGGACCAGCCAAAAAGGTGAGACCCAGATGGGCTCTTCACTCATCAAGGCTACTTAGCCTCTGACATGTTCCAGACAGCAGGCTAAGCTGCCCTACTCTGGTGTGAGCAAGGATAGTGTGCATGCCTAAAGCCCTGGCAGTCCTGGGCAACCCTGAGCCCTGAGCTCAGGGTTGAGACTGTAACCATCTAGCCTGGTGATCATGTTTGCTCTTCCTCTGTGTTCAGGTGAAACACCGTGGCTTGCTGTCAACCTTGCAGCTGCTGTATACTGTGGGGTATTCACTCTCCATTGTCGCCCTCCTCCTGGCTCTCACCGTCCTTCTGTGTCTTAGGTGAGTGGAATGTCTGCTGGCACATGCTCCTTGACTACCTCTAGAAGGCTGCAGGTGATGTCATGGCTCATCAGAATTGGAAAGGAATCCAAGAGAGTCCCTAGTCCATCCATCCCATTTTGCAGGTGAAGGGGGAAGGGAGACCAGGTGTCCAATGACAGGCACCGAGTCACCCAAGTCACAAAGCACAGTGAGAATTGGAATCTGGGCTCCTAAGTCTGCTTTTGCCTCCTTTGGGATAGATAACCTCCTCTGTGCCAGGTTCTGCTCTAAATTCCTAACGAACCCATGACTACCACAGCCCATGCTCACCACAAGTCTGCCAGAGGCATTATTTTTACAGAAGAGATTAAGAACTTCCCCAAAGTAAATTAGTGAGTGGTGGAGGTAGGATTCTAACCCAGGGCCCACTGAATCCAGTTAGCTGTGCTTCCTCAGTGCTCAGGCCCTGTTCTAAGCATGTTACGTGCACTAAATCACTTAAATCTCATTCTAATCAGAATTATCATTAATTCTAATCCCAGGAGATTAGCATTATTGTCAGCACTATTTTCTAAGTGAGTTAACAGAAATATGGAGAGATTGAGTAACTTGCCCAAGATCGCACAGCTGGTGAGTGAGGGAGGCAGGATTACAGCCAGGCAGTCTGGAGCCTGCACATTTTCACTCCCTAATACTCTCTTTCAGAATCCAAAGACTGAGTGCATTTTATTAAATCAAGTTTTTAGAAATTACCCAAGTGAGGTATTTAGAGAACAACTAGGGAGCCCTCTAAAGCTGTCTCATGGTAGAGCCCATTCAGGAATATAATTGGGCACATATGAGGGGCACCCCCCAAAATTCAGAGGGCGCCCTCAAAAATATCTTCTGGAGGGTGGGCCCTCTGTAGAACAGGCTATTCCCCTACGTAAGTGTTCTAGGTACCCACCAGTATTAGTGTACTAGCTGGTGTTGTTGAGAGGCTGTGTTCAGCTTCAGTGAATTTTTTTGAAGAATCTTTCAATGCATTTGCCCATTTCATCATGAGTGATTTACAGGTGCACCTGCCCACACTGAACTGTTTTCAGCAGTTTTTGACCAAAAACAGCACAATCCCCATGCTCCACTCTTCCATTTACCTGATCTCACCCCAAGCAACCTTTTTTGTTGTTTTTCTGGATGAAAAAAAGTCCTGAAAGGGAAATGTTTTGCCCATGTGGAAGAGGTGAAACAAAAAAATGTCAGAAGCTCTAAAAGGCATCAAAATCGATGAGTTCGAAAACTGTTTTGAGCAGTAGAAAAAGTCTTCAGTAGGTGTATTGCATCGAATGCAGAGTACCCTGAAGGTGACTGAAGTTTAAACATGTAAGAATAAATATACATTTTAAATAAATAAATTTTGAATTTATGGAGGTCCCCTTTCATAATGTGGCAGAATGAGAGTCTGGCACAGACACAGGAGAGTTGGCTGGGGACCATGGGGACCTGAATGCTAGTTCGAGAGCAACTCACAGGGCTCTGCTAGCCCTGGGTTTGGCCCTACTTGGCCCTTAATCTTGCATGGCCTGTGACTCCTGCAGCAGAGTCAGGGCTGTCTATGCCACTGGGAGAGCAAGTTTTGAACAATGGGAGAATTGCACAGTCTGTTATCTGCGGCCTCCTCCATGCACCTTCCCAAAGTCTTAAAACCAAACCAGGCGAAGATGACTGGCCAGCCATGCTGGAAGTACCTTTAGCAAGACCTGGGTCAACCAAGTGTCCGTTTTGCATCAGTTCCTGCTCTTGAGTAGTCCCTGGTCTAGTTATGGAGAAGGATGCCTAAATGGTAAAACATAAGGACCTGCTTCACATCTTTTTTTGAGATTAAAAAAAGAACAGCTCTAAAGCAAGGCAGGACTGGGTGTGTGCTGCACACAGGCCCAGGCAGGGCTGTGAGAGTCAGGGACGGCAGAGGCTGAGGATGTGGTTTGACATCATCGGCTAAGACATAACCACCATTGCGGAGGCTCCAGGGGGGTGAGGGACAGGCAACACCTCATTCTGTGCTCAGGTACAGGGTGAGCACTTTTCACTCGTTTTAATTGATTGGATCTCTCCGCAGCCCTTTGATGTAAGTGTTCTTGTTCTTACAGGCAGTAGAGCCTCGGAGAGCCACATTTTAGCCTTAGAGTTGCTCAAATCTCAGCTCTACCATTTACTGCTCTGGGACTTTGGACAGATGACTTAACCTTTCTGCCTCAATCCCCCCAGCTATAAAACCAGGGCAATAATAGTGCCCATCCATGAGTGCGTACGCACATGTAAATGACTTGGAACACAGTGGGGGCATGCTGAACATGTTATATAGGTGTTAGCTATTATCGTCCTTGTTTTGCAGATGAGGAAAAGGAATCACAGAGAAGTCAGATCACATAATCCAGCTTTCCAACTCTGGTGCCCACACTGTGAGCCTCTGCCCTTTGGCGGTAGATACACAAGTGTTTCAGGAACACACCTGTTGGTCTGAGCTGTTCTTTCCTGAGGGAGGGCTCTTGGTTTTCTCCTTGTACAGAAAACTCCACTGCACACGCTACTACATCCACATGAACTTGTTTGCCTCTTTTATCCTGCGAGGCGTGGCTGTGCTGGTGAAGGACGTCATCTTCTACAACTCTTACTCTAAGAGGCCCAACAGCGAGAAGGAGTGGATGTCCTATGTGTCAGAGGTACATCTTTCCACCTGGTGGATCAGTACCGGGAATCAGAGGGCATGGAGCTGGGGCCCCAGAGGGGAGGAGGGAGACAAGGGGTGGGTGTCAAAGGCTTTGTGGTTAGACAGGCAACATCTGACTTGAAAAAAAAGAAAGAAAAGCCTCTCAAAAGTTGGGAAAAGGTAAAGAAAATCATCAGCAGGAAAGTTTACTGAGTGACTACTGAATGGCCCTTGGGTGAGGAATTTTTCCATCTAAAAATAAAAGAAGGAATTAAACTAGAATACCCTTCAAAGCTTTTTCAAATTGAAATCCGCATCTTTTGACATGTTTTTTTTCATTGCTAAACCAACTTTATTCAGTTTTACACAGTATTTTTTAAAAATTTTTTTATTTAGTTATTTTTCAAATACAGTTTTCTGTTTATTTTTCCCATCCTGGGCCACCCCTCCCCCATGCACCCCACCTCCCTCCCATTTCCACCTCCCTTAGTTATTGTCCCTGTGTCCTTTATACTTGTTCCTCTAAATCCCTCCCATTTTTTCCCCTTAAATTCCTTCCCCTCTCCCCTCTGGTCACTGTCCCCCTGTTCTCTATTTCAGTAACTTTGTTTCTATTTTGCTTGCTTGTTTGTTTTCTTGTTTAGCTTCCTGTTAAAGGTGAGATCATATAGTATTTGTCTTTCAACACCATGCTTATTTCACTGAGCATAATGCTTTCTAGTTCCATCCATGCTGTTGCAAAGGGTAGGAGCTCCTTCTTTCTCTCTGCTGCATAGAATTCCATTCTGTATATGTACCACAATTTTTTGATCCATTCATTTACTGACAGGCACCTAGGTTGCTTCCAGCTCTTGGCTATTGTAAATTGTGCTGTTATGAACATTGTGGTGCATAGGTTCTTTGAAATTGATGTTTTGGGGTTCTTAGGATATAATCCTAGCAGTGGAATTGCTGGGTCAAAAGGCAGGTCCATTTTTAGTTTTCTGAGAAAATTCCATATTGTTTTCCATAATGGTTGTACCAGTCTGCAATCCCACCAACAGTGAATTAAGGTCCCCTTTTCCCCACAACCTCTCCAACATTTGTTGTTGGTTGCTTTGTTTATGATAGCCATTCTGACTGGTGTAAAGTGGTATCTCATTGTGGTTTTAATTTCCATCTCTCTTGTAGCTAGCGATATTGAGCATCTCTTCATGTGTCTCTGGATCTTCTCTATGTCCTCCTTGGTGAAGTGTCTGTTCAAGTCCTTTTCCCATTTTTTAATTGGGTCGGTTGTCTTCTTACAGTGGAGTTGTGTAAGTTCTTTGTATATTTTGGAGATTAAGCCTTTGTCTGAGGTATCATTGGCAAATATGTTTTCCCATAAAGTTGGTTGTCTTTTTAATTTAATACTGTTTTCTTTAGCCATGCAGAAGCTTTTTATTTTGATGAGATCCCATTTGTTTATTCTTTCCTTTATATTCCTTGCTCTAGGGGACATATCAGTAAAAATGTTGCTGTGTGAAATACCTGAGATTTTTCTGCCAATGTTCTCCTCTAGGACTTTAATGGTTTCGAGGCTTATATTTAAGTCTTTTATCCACTTTGAATTTATTTTGGTGTATGGTGTAAGTTGGTGCTCAAGTTTCACTTTTTTGCACGTAGCTGTCCAATTCTCCCAACACCATTTGTTGAAGAGGCTATCTTTACTCCATTTTATGTTATTGTCCCCTTTGTTGAATATTAATTGACTGTAGAGAGTTGGGTTGATTTCTGGGCTCTCTGTTCTGTTCCATTGGTCTATGTGCCTGTTTTTATGCCAGTACCAGGCTTTTTTGATTACAGTGGTATTGTAATACAGTTTGATATCAGGTTTTGTGATCCCTCCTACTTTGTTCTTCTTTCTCAGGAGTGAAGCTGCTATTCGGGGTCATTTATGGTTCCATATAAATTTTTGAAGTGTTTGTTCTATGTCTGTGAAATATGCCATTGGTACTTTAATAGGTATTGCATTGAATCTGTAAGTTGCTTTGGGTAGTATGGACATTTTGATGATGTTAATTCTTCCAATCCATGAACAAGGTATATGTTTCCATTTGTTTGTGTCTTCCTTGATTTCTTTCTTCAGTGTTGTGTAGTTTTCTGCATACAGGTCTTTTACCTCCTTAGTTAGGTTTCTTCCCAGATATTTTATTTTTGTTTTTGCTATACTGAATGGGATTTTTTTCCTTGATTTCTGCTTCTGTTGATTCATTGTTGGTATACAAGAATGCCTTTGATTTCTGGATATTGACTTTGTAACTCACTGTTTTGCCAAATTCATTAATTAGTTTGAGCAGTTTTTTGGTAGAGTCTTTAGGATTTCCCATGTACACTATCATGTCATCTGCAAACAGTTACAGTTTTGCTTCCTCCTTTCCTATTTGGATGCCTTTTATTTCCTTTTCTTGCCTGATCGCTGTGGCTAAAACTTCCAATACTATATTGAATAGAAGCGGTGAAAGCGGACATCCTTGTCTTGTTCCTGATCTTAATGGAAAAGATTTTAGTTTTTGCCCATTGAGTTTGATGTTGGCTGTAGGTCTCTCATATATGGCCTTTATTATATTGAGGAATGCTCCCTCTATTCCCACTTTGCTAAGTGTTTTTTATCATAAATGGGTGTTGTACCTTATCAAAAGCTTTTTCCACATCTCTTGATATGATGATGTGATTTTTGTTTTTGCTTTTGTTTATGTGATGTATTACATTTACTGATTTGTGAATATTGAACCATCCTTGCATCCCTGGGATGAATCCCACTTGGTCATGGTGTATGACCTTTTTAATGTGTTGTTGGATGTGATTTGCCAATATTTTGTTGAGGTTTTTAGCATTTATGTTGATCAGTGATATTGGCCTGAAGTTTTCTTTCTTTGTTGTGTCTTTATCTGGTTTTGGAATTAGGATGATGCTGGCTTCATAAAAAGAATTTGGGAGTTTTCCATCCTTCTGGATTTTTTGGAATAGTCTGTGGAGAATAGGGGTTAGCTCTTCCTTAAATGCTTTGTAGAATTCTGCTGTGAAACCATCTGGTCCAGGGCTTTTGTGTGATGGGAGTTTTTTGATTACTGCTTCAATTTCTTTTGCTGTTATTGGTCTGTTCAGATTTTCTGCTTCTTTTTGATTGAGTTTTGGAAGATTGTATTTTTCTAGAAATGTGTCCATTTCCCCTAGGTTTTCAAATTTCTTGGCATACAGTTCTTCATAGTAATTTCTTACAATCCCTTCTATTTCTGTGGTGTCAGTTGTAATCTCTCCTCTTCCATTTCTGTTTGTGTTTATTTGTGTCCTCTCTCTTCTTTTCTTGATGAGCCTACTAAAAGGCTTGTCAATTTCATGTTTATCTTTTCAAAGAACCAACTCCTGGATTCACTGATTCTTAGAATTGTGCTTTTAGTCTCTATGTCATTTAATTCTGCTCTGATCTTGGTTATTTCCTTCCTTCTGCTTGCTCTGGGCTGTCTTTGTCGTTGTTCCTCGAGTTCTTGCAGAAGTAGGGTTAGGTTGTTTGTTTAAAATGTTTCTATCTTCTTTAGGTAGGCCTGTATTGCTATAAACTTCCCTCTCAAGACTGCCTTCACTGTGTCCCATAAGTTTTGGGTTGTTGTGAGATCATTTTCATTTGTTTCCAGAAACGTTTTGATTTCTTCCCTAATTTCATTCTTGTCCCATTCGTTGTTTAATAGCATACCATTCAGTCTCCATGATTTTGGGTGCTTTGGGGTTTTTCCTTTGGGGTTGGTTTCCAGTTTCAGTCCCTTGTGGTCAGAGAAGATGCTTGGTATGATTTCAATTTTCTTGAATTTTTTGAGGCTCGTTTTGTGTCCTATCATGTGGTCTATCTTTGAAAATGTTCCATGTGCTTTTGAAAAGAATGTGTATTTAGCTTCTTTGGGATGAAGGGCTCTATATATATCAGTTAAGCCCATTTCATCTAGGGTGTTGTTTAATGCTGCAATATCTTTGTTGATATTTTGTTTTGAAGATCTGTCTATTTTTGATAGTGGGGTGTTCAAATCCCCTACTATAATTGTGTTGCTGTCAATATCTTTCTTGAAGTCCTCTAAGATTTTCTTGATATATTTGGGTGCCTCTATGTTTGGTGCACATATATTTATGATATTAATGTCTTCTTGGTGGATTCTTCCCTTGAGTATTCTGAAGTGACCTTCTGGGTCTCTCTTTATGGCCCTTTTTTTGAAGTCTATTTTGTCTGATATGAGAATTGCTACCCCAGCATTTTTTTCTTGCCCGTTTGCTTGGAAAATTTGTTTCCAGCCTTTCACTTTCAGTCTGTGATGATCTTTTGTCCTGAGGTGGGTCTCTTGTAGGCAGCATACGTGTGGGTCATGCTTTCTTATCCATGCAGCTATTCTGTATCTTTTGATTGGAGCATTTAATCCATTTACATTTAAGGTATTATTGATAGGTACTTACTCATTGCCATTTTTGTACCTGTGTTCCTCTCTGTTTCCCTCTTTTCCTTCCTTTCCTTAAAGCAGTCCTTTTAGTATTTCTTGTAGAGCTGGTTTGGTGGAGGCGTATGCTTTTAGACTTTTTTTTTTTTTCTTAGAAGCTCTTTATTTGGCCTTCTATCTTGATTGAGACCCTTGCTGGGTAAAGTAGCCTTGGTTGTAGGCCCCTGGTTCTCATTACTTGGAATATTTCTTGCCATTCTCTTCATGCTTGGAGTGTTTCCATTGAGAAGTCAGTAGCTAACCCTATTGGGGCTCCCTCGTATGTTACTTCTTTTTTCTCCCTTGCTGCCTTTAAGATTCTCTCTTTGTCTTGGAATTTTGCCATTTTAATGATAGTGTGTCTTGAAGTGGGCCTCTTTGGGTTCCTCTTGATTGGGACTCTCTGTGATTCCTGGATTTGTGTAACTTTTTCTCTCATCAAATTAGGGAAATTTTCTCTTGTTACTCTTTCAAATACGTTTTCTATCCCTTGTTCTTCTTCTTCTCCTTCTGGTATTCCTATTATTCGGATATTATTACATTTCATATTGTCTTGCATTTCTCTTAATCCCTCTTCATTCTTTCTGAGCCTCTTTTCATTATCTTGCTCTTTCTGTGAGATGCTTTCTACTTCATCCTCCAACTTGCTAATCCAATCCTCTGCCTCATCTATTCTACTTTTGAAACTTTCTACTGTGTTCTTCAATTCGGAAATTATATTCTTCATTTCCTCTTGTCCCTTGCTGATATTTTCTATTTCCTTTTTCATGTTGATGTAGTTTGCAGAGAGATCATTGTAGTTCCCCTGTAGTTTCTGGTAGTTCATCGTGAGCTCTTTGAACTTCGTAATAAACAGTGCTTTGAATTCACTATCTGATAGTTGATTAGCCTCTATTTCATCTAACATTCTTTCTGAAGTTTCTGCTTTTTCTTTCATTTGGGGATTGTTTCTTTGTCTTCCCATTGTTTGAGACTCTTCTTGTTAGTCTCAGCTTCCTTTTTTTAAATATATTTTATTAATTATGCCATTACAGTTGTTCTATTTCCACTTTCATTCCCCTCCACCCTGCACACCCCTTCCCCACCATTCTCCCCTTTAGTTTATGACCACATGTCTCAAGTTCTTTAGATTCTATATTTCCCATACTATTCTTGCCCTCCCCCCTATTTTCTACCTACTGTCTATGCTACTTATTTTCTGTACCTTTTCCCCCCTTCTTCTTCTCCCACTCCCCTGTTGCTAACCCTCCATGTGATCTTCATTTCTATGGTTCTGCTCCTGATCTAGCTGTCCTTAGTTTGCTTCTGTTTTAGGTGTGGTTGTTAATAACTGTGAGTTTGCTGTCCTTTCACTGTTCATCTTTTTTATCTTCTTTTTCTTAGGTAAGTCCCTTTAACATTTCATATAATAAGGGCTTGGTGATGATGAACTCCTTGAATTTGGTCTTATCTGAGAAGCACTTTATCTGTCCTTCCATTCTAAATGAAAGCTCTGCTGGATAGAGTAATCTTGGATGTAGGTCTTTGGATTTCATGACTTGGAATACTTCTTTCCAGCCCCTTCTTGCCTGTAAGGTGTCTTTTGAGAAATCCGCTGACATTCTGATGGGCACTCCTTTGTAGGTGACTGTCCCCTTATCTCTTGCTGCTTCTAGGGTTCTCTCCTTCATTTTCATCTTGGCTAATGTAATTATGATGTGCCTTGGTTTGTTCCTTCTTGGGTCCTACTTCTTTGGGACTCTCTGAGCTTCCTGGATTTCCTGGAAGTCTATTTCCTTTGCCATATTGGGGAAGTTCTCCTTTATTATTTGTTCAAATAAGTTTTCTACTCGTGGCTGTTCCTCTTCCCCTTCTGATACCCCTATAATTCGGATGTTGGAACATTTAAAGATGTCCTGAAGGTTCCTAAGCCTCTCCTCGTTGTTTTGAATTCTTGTTTCTTCATCCTTTTCTCTTTGGTCATTTTTTTCTTCCTTCTGGTTCACTCCTTTGATTTGAGTCCCAGTTTCCTTTCCATTACTATTGGTTTCCTGTGCATTTCCATTCATTTCAATTAATTTAGCCTTCATATGTTCCTCTAATTTGTGACTAAAATGAACCAGTTCTGTGAGCATCCTGATCACCAGTGTTTTGAACTGTGCATCTGAAAGTTTGGCTATTTCTTCATTACTTAGATTTATAGGCTCTGGGGCTCTGAGTTGTTGTTGAGCCATGTTTTGATCTGTTTGTGCCTGTTATGTATGAGGAGCAGAGCCTTAGTTGTTCACCAGGGTGGGGGCCACCCTAGTCACTGGTTTGTGATGCTGCATATGGGGGCAGGTCAGAGAGGGATAATGGCGGTCCCCTTTGCGCTTTCTGCCCCTTTCTGCCGCTGGGGCCTGCATCGTCTATCTCACCACAGCTAGCTCCTTCACCGGTTTATCTGCACGCAAATGTGTGACCATGGTCTACCCTTAGTGGGTCTGCTGCCTTGAGCCCTCAGTGGGTCTGCCAGCTTCTCCACAGCTGGGATCCACCCACGGCTGCTGGCGCACCTGGGTCACATGCCCAGGTTGGTCCAGTGGATCTTTCCTGCCCTACCCCGCTCTGCTGCTGGCTCTGCCCCTCTTACTGGTTTGGCTGAAGGATTCGTTGTTGTCAGACTTCCATGTAGTTCAATTTTCTGTGGTTTGGCTGTGTTTTTGTTGCTAAAACTTTGCTGTTTTTAAACTTGCTTGTGTGAGAAGGCGAAGTGCTTCCACCTACACCTCCATGTTGGTGGAAGTCCCTAGTCTCAGCTTCTAAAATTGATCTGTTCTGACTCCCTGGGTTTATGGTGTGTACTTCTGTGGTATAATACCTGTGAATTTCTGTGGTGCAGACTCCTTCAGGTATCTTGATGTTCTCTGTCTCCACCTACTCTTCCGCTGGTCCTTGCGCTGGTCCCCACGCTGGTCGCCCACCACTTCTGAGTGTCCGGGCTCCCATAGCCAACTCCTCAGGCACCCGGGCCCGTCACTATGGCAGCAGCACAGGGGCTGAGAGTGTCCTGGCTCCCGTAGCTGACTCCCCGGCACCCAGGCCCGTCACAGGGGCTGTGAGTGTCCCATCTCCTGTACCTGACTTCCCAGCGCCTAGTCCCGTTGCTATTGGTTTTTTTTCCTTTATCCTGTTAATAATAAATGCATTAATCTGTTAAATTACCTCTGTATTCCTGAGATAAACCCAACTATGTTCTGATATATTATTGTTCCTTTACATTGCTGGATTCCATTTGCTAATACTGTCTTCTGTTCAGCATGTCATATATACTGGTGAATAATTTTCTTTTCTTGTAATGCTTTTGTTAAGTTTTTGGATAAAGTTTGTGCTGCCCTCTTAAAAAGAAATCAGTCTTGTTCTCTCTTTCTCTATTCTTTGGAAGAATTTATTTAAGATAGGTATTATTTCTTCTTTAAATATTTGATAGATTGCACCATTTGGAGTCAGTTTTCTTTATTGGAAGGGTTGTAATTATTAACTAATATGACTCTTATATTTAGGTTTTCTATTTCTTCTGGTGTCACAAGGTAACTTGTGTTTTTTTAGAATTTGTCTACTTCATCTAATGTTTGAAATTTGTTGGCATTTTATTGTTTATAGTCTTTTAAGATCTTTTAAAGTTCTATTGCATGTAGGATGGTGTTTCTTTTTTCATTCCTGATATTGGTAATCTGTCTTTTCCCCCTTGGTCACATTTTCCAGTAGTTTCTCAGTTTTATTGGATTTTTCAAAAATCAAACTTTTGGCATTGTTGATTCTCTTCATTTTATGTTCCCTATTTTATTAATTTCCACTTTCATATTAACTATTTTTCCATGTAGTTTTTTTGTTTAACTTGCTCTTATTTTTATGACATAAATATTTGAAGTACTTGATTTTCAGCCCTTTCCTTACTCAATTAAGCTATTTAAGGCTATAAGTGTCATTCTAAGTGTGGTATTGTCTGCATAGCACAAACTTTGATATGCAGCATTTTCCTTTCATTCAGTTCAGAAATAAGTTCTAATTTCTATTATAATTTCTCCTTTGATTCTCCTTTGTTTAGAAGTTTATTTCCTCATATCTAATTATATGAATATATTTTGGATGTTGATTTCTAGCTTAATGGAACTGAGATCAGAGAACACATTGTTTAGTGATTTTTTAGGGAAGTCACTCATGAGATTTCTGATTTTGTTTGTCTGATGATCTCTATAGTGTCAAGGAAGAGGCTATGAAACCTACATGAAGCAGTACTTCACAGTTTGGTAGTGTGGCCACCTTTCTGGGAGGGTCATCAAGGGTTTGGGAGAGAGATGAGGGAGAGGGAGGGTTATGCATAGGGAGGCCCTCCCCTGCCTTCTGAGTCCAGACCCTGGAAGGCCTGGACTCACCTCCAGGTGCTCTGTCCTCTGCAGATCTCCACCTCCTGCCGCTCCGCCCAGGTCCTCCTGCACTACTTCGTGGGGGCCAATTACTCCTGGTTTCTGGTGGAAGGCTTGTACCTCCACACGCTGCTGGAGCCCACAGTGCTTTCTGGAAGGCGGCTGTGGCCCAGATACCTGCTGGTGGGTTGGGGTGAGTGACCTGAACCCCCAACCTCTTTTTCTGGGTACTCTTCAGAACATGAGAGCTCAATAGCTCCAGCCTTTGGTTGGAGCTAGAGACCCAACTGGATGGAGGTTTGTGAGACAGATCATTCCTCAGTGACAAGAGTCTCTGAGGAAGGGGTGTGTGTGTGTGCACGCAAGCACACACACATATGCACAAGTGCCAATAGACCCAATGCACACATTCAGAAATTGAGAAGGATTATGGTAGAAATGGTAGAATCAACTACCATTTCTCCATCCTTGCCCCCAACTGTATTGGTCTGCTCAGGATGGTATAACACAGTGCCCTGGACTGAATGTTATACAATAGACATTTACTTCTCATAGTTATGGAGGCTGAGGAATCTGAAATCAGGCTGCCAGCATGATTGAGTTCTGGTGAGGGCCCTCTTTTTGGCTTGCAGACAGTTGTCTTCTTGCTGTGTCCTCACATGGCAGTGTGGGCAGGGGGAGAGAGAGAGAGAGAGAGAGAGAGAGAGAGAGAGAGGCAGCTCTCTGATCTCTTACAAGGGCATTAATCCATCATGCTGACTGACAGCTCCTCCCAACAACTTCCAAACCCAGTTACCTCCAGAGGTCTCATCTTCAAGTATCATCAGTGTAGGGGGTTGGGGCTTCAACATATTAATTTGGGGGAAGACACACAAACCATACCACCAATTAAGTCTTCAAGATGAGGTCTAAAACCCCTGTTGTCACAAGCTTTTGGGGAATTTAAGGCTGCAGGATTCAGAGGAAATAATCTTGGCTTGCAATTCAGAAGATTCTGGATAATGTTTCTATATTTGCTACAAGCTGCTCTGGGATGAGTGGCAAGTCTGTCCTCTCTATTCTCCATTTTCCCTGAAAGTAAAAGCATAGCCAGGCTCTGTGCCACTCTAGTGTTCCTGCAGTCCTCAGTTCTGTGGTTTTATAGGATTTAACCAGCTGTGCTTGGCCAAATGGCTGGGGTGGGAGGCGGGCAGCTTTGGCCAACCAGCAGCTAACTGCATTCCCTGTTCTCTCTCAGCCTTCCCACTGCTGTTTGTTGTGCCCTGGAGTGTGGCCCGTGCACAGCTGGAGAACACAGGGTAGGTACTTCACCTGTTTTCTCACTTTCATGAGCAGGTGATCCCCAGATATGCCCCCAAACAAATATGTGTATCATTTTCCTAAAGAGACTATCCATCCTTTTCAATTTTGAATTTATCCATCCTTTTCAATTTTTCAATTTATCCATCCTTATCCATCTAAAATATACCTAGGAGTCCTGGTGGGTATGGCTCAGTTGGGTGGAGCATTGTCCCATAGCCAAAGTGTTGCAATTCAATTCCCGGTTTGGGTACACACCTAGGTTGTGGGTTTGATCCTCCATCCCAATCCCTGGTCCAGGCATGTACTTAGGGCAACCCATCAATGCTTCTTTCTCCCATAAATGTTTCTCTCTCTCCTGTCCTCTCTCTCTAAAAGTAATGAAAAAGATGTTCTCGGGTGAGAATAAAAAATAAAATAAAATATACCTAGGAGTGTGGATAAAATAATCAAAGATTTTTTTATAGTATTAGTTTGTTAACTTATTAAGTTACATCTACAAATTATTACAAAATTAGCACCAATTAGCACAAAATGTACTGCATACCTTATCAGCGACCCTGGGTATATAAGGCTATAGGTACAAGAATAGTCATTGCCTCATAGTTCAAAGTTGGGAAAAAGCAAAATGAAATGGGTGAAAGTGGTCAAAAGGTTCAAACTTCCAGTTGTAAATAAGTCAGTCCTGGGATGTCATGTTCAGCATGGTAACTACAGTTAACACTTCCATGCTGTACATGTGAAAGTTGCTGAGAGAGTGAGTCTGAAAAGTTCTCATTACAAGAGAGAAATTTGAAACTGTGTGAGGTGATGGATGTTAACTAGACTTGTGGCAATCATTTTACAATATATTCATATACTGAATCATCACATTGTACACCTGAAACGAATATAATGTTAACATGTCAATTGCATCTCAATTTTAAAAATAAAACAAAAACCCTAACCAAACAAAAAAAATCATCCCTGAACATCTGTCAGTACAGGAATCAATGAATAAATGGTGGCATACCTATATAGTGGAATATTCTATATCTTCTGGCTTCTTGAGACTTAATCTCGACAGCACCTAGTTAAGCCTGTTGCTGAATAATGCAAATCATTTGATCCTATTCTTTCCTCCAAATAAACACCACCCAAAAGTCCCCTATATAATTAAGAATTTACATTTCTGAGAACACAGAGACAAGTATAGAGGAATATACAATGAGTTTTAGTGCACTTTAGTGGTAAGAAAAGCCAGTGTTGTGGTACTAGCAGGAAGGAATTTGAGTCTGCTCTTCTCTTTCATCCCTCAAGACAATGATGGGTTGAAGGTAAGTCTTGAGTGTGAGCATCCTTTGTCCAGAAGATGTGAGGCTTTTGTGTCAAAACTTAATTTAAAATTTACTGTCTGCTCTTTGCTGTAGGTGCTGGGGAACGAACAATAATAAGCCAATCTGGTGGATCATCCGAGGACCCATGCTCCTCTGTGTAGCAGTAAGAATCATCCCACCCATTCTTTCTCCCCTCTAAGCTCAGCAGCTAGTGAAGACCTCACCCCTTGTTTTCCCCACCCAATTCCCTGGCTCAGGATAAGTCTGGGCCAGACCTTGAGCTGGGAGTAGGATCTGTGAATGAGAAGGAACAAGTTAGAAACTCCTTGTTCTGTTCTGGTTCAGGACCTAAACTGCAAGTTCTACCACAAGCCTCCTTCTTGTTGAGTCTTTAAACTAGGTATAGAAATGTGCTCAGTGACCTTGAATTGAATCTTTATGATGTGTACAAGGTCCTGGGGACAGAGGCATCTTCAGTCACAGACCAGCCCAGGGACAGCAAAGCTGTTGGCTCGGTCTTAACACCATTAATAGGAGGGAAAGGAGCTTTTTTCAGAGGAGGAAAACATACATTCATGTCACTTCCCCCCCACAGTGGTGATGGGTGTCGCGGACCAGCCTCGTCAGGAGAGGGGAGGGGGCGGAAATGAGTTAAGGACGCAGGGAGTCAGGTTGGAGAGGTCTCAGCATCCCGCTGAGCCCCGAACTCCGTTTATTCAAGGCTTTTATTACAATTTTGGGAAATAAGCAGGAGGGGGCTGTACATAAGCCAGTTTCTTTGTCTTTTTTGCAAAGCTACTCCACAGAACAACAAGAGAACACAAAATGCTATCAAAACTTTTCTATTTATCAAACACCGGTGCATGACCTACCCTTCTACAGGGAAACAAGCTCTCTAGCTTTCTTAAAAGACCTATTGTCTAGCCACAACAAGTTCCAGACAAAGAACCAAACAAAGTAAAGAAAAACTGTACCACAAGCAGCAGCGGCCTTGCCAGCTGGCCCAGGCCCCCCCGGCTTTGCCAAGGGGGGGCTTACGGTCACGTCTCCACAAGCAGTAACTATGCCAGCCTGACCCCCTGGCTTTGCCATGGGGGGCTAGTAGCGCCCACAGATGGGGTTAGGGAGTCAGGAGATGCTGCTGCTCTGAGACCCTGAGGAGGAAGAGCCTTTACTTTGGGTGATCCAGAATTTGGGACTGGAGAAGGAGGGCTTGACCCAGAGTCCTTTTAAAACTCTTTTAGATGACAGGGTTTGAGAGTGAAGTCTGCCCACAAAGCGCAGGGAAATGACAGGGAGTTAGTGAACAGCAGGAAGTCTAGCAAGGTCCTGGAGGAAGACAGAGACTCTCCTACCTAGACACGGCCATCACTCTGGGTGCAGATGTGGTATTTGTGGTTTAATGAAAGCAAAAGCTTGTTGTATAGAAGAATGTATCTCTCAATGATAGAAGGCAACTCTCTGCCCAAACTTGGGTATAACTGAGAGGATAGAAAGTTCACAGAAATAGTAAGAAAACCGAGAGTGTGGTGATGCTCTAGAGGATTCCAGGTCTGTGTCACATCCAACCTGACCAGTGGCAGGCATGCTTCTGAGAATCTCCCCCCCCAACCCCGCACACCCTATTCATTTCACACACAGCTGAGAGTGTATGTTCTATGTGAATTCTGACCACTTACCTCCCACGGGCATCATGAGCCCTGCCTCACCCCCACACTGTCTGCCATTTCTCCACAATCCTTTCCTCTCCAGACACACTGTGAAGCTGTGGTTCCAGCACTTACCTCCTAGCTAGGACCCTCTGTGATGGCCCAGAGAAGTCTATTGGGTATCTCTTACATCCCAAACCATGCTAAGTGCTTTGTGTGTGGGAACTCACTTACTCTTCTGAGGTAGATGCTACCTCTCATTGATGAGGACACTGAGAAAATGAGGAGTCACTTGTTTAAAGTCACTGCTCCAGTACATGGAGGCCCCAGAGCTCAGCCCAGAGGGTCTGATCAGATGACACACTTATAACCACAACACCTTGGTGCTGCCTCCAACATACTTACTGCCTTCAGCCCTTGTGCATGGAATGCTGACTGCTGCAGTTTCTTTTATGCATTAGTGCCTTGCATCAGATTCTTCTTGGGTTTGAGCTTCCTCCCTCTGCCACTTTGTCCACCTTGTTGCTGTATCTGGACACCCACCTAGCAAAGTAGGAATGGTCACATTCTCCTTTGTGCCCTTCCTGGACCCTGTACAGATTTCTGCTGGAACCTCAGCAATGTTTTGTTGTGAGTATCAGTCTAAAAGCGGTCTACTGACACCATATGCCCCCTGTTCTGTTCAGCCTGGCAGCCAGCCCAAGCATATGGCAGGCTCTCTATAAGCTTTGGGTAACATTTGTGACCCTCACTCCTGGGCACTGGTAGACTCTCGTTAACCAGGCAGAGCAAAGCAGGATGGAAGCCAGCTGGTCCTCCCTAGGAGGGAGTTCAGGATGCTCATTCCAGCTGGATCCCCAATATTCATCCTGCAGACTTCCAGAGGCTTCATCATTCTCCATCTTGGTTGCTCCTGAAATCACCTTGATGTTTTTAAAAATTCTTTTGCTCGGGTCTCAGCCCCAGAGATTTGTATTTCATTGATCTTAGGTGTGGCCTAGGAAGTCTAAGGTGCAGCCTGAGTTGAAAAGCATTTTGCTACACTGCACCTGCTCAAAGTATGGTCACCTGAGCCCTTGCTATAAAACCAGGTCCCCAGGACCCACCCCAGACCTGCTCAGTCAGAACATGAGTTGCAACGACATTGCCAGGCTTCAGGCACCCACTGAAGTCTGTGGCTCCCAAAGCTGAATATCATGAGAAACCTCATGGTACTTCATACCCTGGAGGACCACATCAGAAATTCTGGAGGTAGGGCTCAGGCAGGTGCAGTTTTAAAAGTTCTGAAGGGATTAAAATGAACAGCCAGGGCTGGAACCACTGCTCTGGACCTTGCTCCTTGTCCGGCTGTGGCTGACCGACCTGCATGCTAGTTTCTATGGGTGCTTCCAAGCTCCTGGAGCCATATTTTCACCTATGAGGGCAAGAGAATGCTCTTTATCATTTCATCTTGGGTAAAATCACCTTCACATGCTGTTGTTTCTACAACTCCAGTCACAACCAGCTCTTCGTATAGACACAGTCTTCTGACCTCATTCATGCTCCCGTCCACCTTCTCCTGCTGCTGCCACACACAGTGGATGAGACCACTGTTCATCTACCAGCCACTCCAGCCAGAAGCCTGGGAGCCCCCTAGCTTCTGTTCTCTTCTTCCCAGAAATCTCCACTCAGAGAGTGTCTTGCCAAATTCTTCTCAAGATCCCTCCACGCCATCTCCTTTCCCTTAATCCCACTTTTCTTCATTTCCTTCTGCAGACTTCTGCAAAAGCCTCCTGACTGGTCTCCTTTCTTCATTCTTGCCCGCAGAAACCCATCCTCTGTATTGCAGCCAGAGTAGTGTTTCTTGAGAAAAACTCAAGATACTTTTGTCTCTTTTCTGCATGTGACTTTTTAATGGATCGTTGTTGCCCTCAGGCTTTGAGCACCTTTCATGTTTTTGACTTGGTTCTTTCGAGGGTAATAAAGGCATATGTCCCATGGTTTCTGCCCTCAGGAAATTCAGAGTCTAATAGTTACCATTCTGAGACTCATTGGATCATGACTAAGCCAACCAATAGCTGCCTTCATGTTTGGTCCTATTGACCTGTGTTGCAGTTTTGCACTGACCAGAGGAGACATAACCCCACCTCCAATATATAATTCCTTGAACTTACAACATGGAAGGAACTTGGGTCCCTGAGACTACATGACTACTCCATAGACTACTCTATGGAGTTCTGCTCCATGTAGTCTCATTGTTCTAGATAATGAAATAAGCAAAAACCAACCAAACAAAAAAAAGCTCTCCCTATCTTTAGTGTGTGAAGAAAAAAAATTTCCTGATCCTACATTTCTTTTATTAAACTAAAGTACTAAAAGGTATCATAATAATCAAGGTCAAGGTGATAGCATTCAGAGCACCTCACAATCTTTCTCATATTGGCCAGATTTGAGGCTGGCAACTATTTTTCTGGAGCACAGAACAGAGGTTTGTGGGAAGATCCAACTGTACATGGTGAACTGAGCAGTGGGACCAAAGAAAATCTCCCATCCCAATCTCAGGCTCCCTGGTGAGCATCCCCAGTTATCAGAGCTGGGCTTCTCCACCAGCTCCCAGACTAGGTCTGGATTTGTTAATCAGCATCTGGATCAGTGAGAATGAATGTACATCATGCTGGATTTCCAGACATATCAGCTGACTTCACCTGCTCCTCTCTTGACTCTCTATGTTTCAGAAATAATAATAATGTGACAACCTGAAGAATCCAGATACTCTTTGGGTCTTTCATGAGAAACCGAAATTAGATAACTCTCAACTCCTTCAGCATATAAGACTTCACTATTAAATTAACCTGTTACTCCTGAGTGTACATTTGGTCTAGGACCTTACTGGAACAGGATATATTCTTATATCCTAGTAGAAAATTCATAAAGCTTTGATTAGTCCAACTTTTCAAGGACAGCCTTACAAAATGAGTAAACTGTATAAGATTGTTCTATTTATATCCTGATTTCTGGAGTTAACAGATTGATCCTCCAGTTGAAAGGCTTTTTTGAGCCAGTGAATTGAATCATATAATCATATATTGACTTTATAAAGTCATAAAGTCAAATGCCTTCATTCTCTGACATCTGAATCTCCTCTGACAGCCTCAACTTTTGCCTCAGTACTCGGCAAAGTTGAGAAATTAGTAAAATTAGTCTTTTCTGGTCTTGCCCCTCTTTAGGTTTTCTTCCTCACCGGGAATCCAGGGGCATTCTGTTACTTGGGTTTTCCAACTTCTCCTCACTCCCTGCTCCCCTCCTCTGAAGAGCTGCAAAAGAAATTTCTCCATACTTTGGATTTTCCCTCCTCAAAACTTACCTTTGTTGAGTCCCATCTTCTGTGTTCCATGGTGAAAGTGAGTCAGATCTTACATATTTATTGAATTCTTCATTTTTGTAGAGATGAATGTGAATGAATGAATGAGAGATAGAAAAAGGGCTCCCCTCTTCTCTCCCAGTTGCTCCTTATCCTCTGTGTGATGTGTGCACT